ACTAGCTGCCTTCCCTCTAGTCTTACACTGCTAAATTAGGGACGGCTAGCGCAGATAGCCCTCGTGTAGCTTTGCGCGAAATTCAAAACAAAGAAACACACCGAACATGCTCGTCCTTTCAGCCGTGAGAGCGTTGTAATTTGACGGTCAATCCTACTATTCGTTGGTAAAAGAGTAGCCCAAGAGTCGGTGGTGTTGATTAGCGCAAAGCTATTTGAGTGTTATTTTCACTAGTTGTCCCTAATATAGCAATGATAGACTAGACGGAAGGCGGCAGCTAGTCAACACCACCCACTCTTGATCTACTCTTTTATCAATGAAAAGTTGGATTGACCGTCACTTTATAATGCCCCCGCATTTGAAAAGGCAAGCGTGTTTGGTGAAGAGAATTCGAACCCGCGACCGACAGATTTGAAGTCGAGCGCCCTAACCACCAGGCCAGGGCCCTAACCTCCCTCCGACCATTTGTGTAAGTATTGTTTTAAGATAAACGTAACGCAAGAGCTATTTATCAAAACGTTTATATGGAAGATAGTAATTCATGATAATAGTTAGTTATAACGGGCTTCATCCACCAATTTTTGGGTTGTTTGGAGGCAACGTATCAATCGTCCATTATAGGTCATCATCAAACAAGCTTCAAACGCGTGGATGAAGTCCAGTAAAAAACAACCTTGGAGGAGAATGAAATGAAATATATATTGTTTATATTAGGTTGCACTGTGGAATGTTGTGATTGAATCGGTGATTGCGATGAAACCAAAGCTCTTCACTGAATGGCAAACTGTCATCACCTTTATTTGCTGTAACATCGGTTTTCTGTTAGGCTTACCAATGACTACCAATGTAAGTTATCAGCTTCATGTTATTCGTCTTTTAGGGAAAAAGTAGAGAGTCAGATGTGTATAATAATAATAATAATTATTATTATTGATATATAAGAACTTACTAAATATTATTGAGTTATACATGTACAAATCGGTAGACTGTTGCTGTTAGCGATAGTGAGTAGTAATTCTTTCTAATTTATGGAAAACAATTGTCAAAAAATAAACCCTAAAAACGTTTCAAAAGTGATAAAAAAAATTGTGTTAGCTTGTCATGTTGTGTTTATAAGTGTTCAGGAAAATAGCAAACTATGTCCAATGTTGAGGCCTTTCGCCCATTACCAAGGGTCATCAGGCCAGTCGGGATATGACACTAATGGATCATCAGGCCAGACGGGATATGGCACTAATGGGTCATCAGGCCAGTCGGGATATGACACTAATGGGTCATCAGGCCAGTCGGGATATGACACTAATGGGTCATCAGGCCAGACGGGATATGACACTAATGGGTCATCAGGCCAGTCGGGATATGACACTAATGGGTCATCAGGCCAGACGGGATATGACTGGCAGAGTAGTGGGTGCTAGGCTATTAAGATTGGAAAATTTTTGGACAACAAATGTTTGTGTGTGAACTAGTTTAAGTTGGGGAATTCTAACGTTTCCTTAGTTGTTTTATTTATATCATAAACCATCAGAATTAGGGCAAGAAATGTTTATAAAATGTTTATAGACTATATTATTTATTTATTTTAACACCGTATATTAGTATTACTAGTAGAAACTTCGCCCTACCGGCGGCTGTTTGTACTAGTAATTACTAATCGTAGTATTCATACCTCATTGGAAAAAAAATGTAGAAAAAGTGAATATTTTCTATAAAAAAATTATTTTCTTTGGAAGTACTGCACGGGAAAAATGTCCAGACTGTGCTGATATAAACTGTAATGTTTTTATACATTAAAAATGGTACCCTTTATTGAAAAAATATTTTTTAGTACTATATTTACAAATTACATCAATAACGATAAATCAAACCGTCACTTACAGTGTGAAAGTTGTGTTCTTTTTTTTTGAGGAGAGTACTTTTATTTAAAATTGCGTTTTGTGATAAAGAAATTATTATTGCACATACCATAGTTATTTTTTTCTGTTTGAATCTTCAATACCGAAAGTGTGGATTTTTTTATGGTTTTTATTCGATAGATGGCGCTACATTGTATTTATTATTTCGGCCATATGCATAGATACATGCTACGTCCATAATAGTAAGAGGATATAAGAATTTACAAAAAAATTATTGGGTTACATATGCACAAACAGATGGGTTATTGATGTTTAATAATGTGTTAAGAACAGATAAATCTGAAACTTGGTAAAAAACGAACGACGTTATTATTTTTCAATTAGGCTTAGCAGTATCAAGTTAGAAAAATGTAATATATTATCTCTCTTTGTTGTTGACGGCTAAGATATCAACTAAGTATTTTCAAGTGCAAATAAAATACTGTAAAATGTTCGGTAAAAATTCCTCGTATCAACTCTACTATTTTTTTTAAATGATGTTGCTGAAAACAAAACTGTAACCATTGTATTTGATGGAAACCACGTGATCGTTAACAAAACTAAAACAAGCCTCAACGGCCCGGCGTGGCCAGGTGGTTAGGGCGCTTGGGTGTCAACTGTATTATCATGGCGAAGATGGGTGCCAACTGTATTATCATGATGAAACCCGAATGAAAATGGTTGCAAACTGGCTTATGATGGGACATTGGTGAAGATGGGTGCCAACTGCTTTATCATGACGGAATACTGGGAAAGATGGGTGCCAACTGCCTTGTCATGACAGAACACTGGCGAAGATGGGTGCCAACTGCCTTATCATGACAGAATACTGGTGAAGATGGGTGCCAACTATCATGTCATGGAGAAACACGGGTGCTTCATCATGAATAGACTGCGTAAATCATTAGTTAACGAAAATGGTGAGATAACCATCTGACCTTCTCTCGAAAAAGGCAGAAAGATTACATCCAATGAGAGATGTAATAAAGTTGGTACAGGTGTACATATAAAAGTAATCCATTACCCCTAGAACCCATAGTTCCCCCGAAGGTAGTGAAAGACCCCCTAGAACCCATAGTGCCCGCGAAGGTAGTGAAAGACCCCTAGAACCCATAGTTCCCGCGAAGGTAGTGAAAGAGAGAGTTTTAAAGAATCAGTTTCAAATAATCCCTTCTAATGTTTGGTGCTAATTTACTGGAAGTTATGTCGATCACTTACTAAGCAGGCCAGGTGTGGCCTATTGGTTAGTTTGACTAGACTGTCAATCCGAATGTTTATGGTTTCCATCCCGTTACCGCGAAAAAAAATTGCGCTTCGCACTTGGGTGGTGGGTGCTGTTGAATATCTGCATTCATCAGTAGTCTATCACTTTAAAATTAGGGATGGCTAAGTGCACGTGGCCCTTGTGTAACTTTACGCGAAAATTATAAAACAACCTCTTACTAAGCCTAAACACCTACTAGGAAGTTTCTGTGTATTAAATATTATCTAATGCATGACATAGTTTTGTTGTTGATATTTAAGGTTTTTTTTTGTTGTTGTTTTAACACAGATTGGTGTGTTTATTATATTCTTCTTCGACATCTGTATTGGATCACTTTGGTGGGTCGGGAGCATTTTTCTTATTATGATCATCGCCATATTATTTATTAGAGGTAAGTTATTATTAAATTCATGACATTCGTAAAAATAAAATTTAGATACTGAGGATGACTTAAAAAAATAATTGGGTTTATTTATTTCAAAAAAGTCGTGGATTATCATTGGTGTAGAAGAGCGAGAAACCCTAGTGGTTAGGGCCCCGGCATGGCCAGGTGGTTAGGGCGCTCGAATCTCAATCTGTGGGTCGCAGGTTCGAATCCCCGTCACACCAAACATGCTCGCCCTTTCAGCCGTGGGGGCGTTATAATGTTATGGTCAATCCCACTATTCGTTGGTAAAAGAGTAGCCCAAGAGTTGGCGGTGGGTGGTGATGACTAGCTGCCTTCCCTCTAGTTTTACACTGCAAAATTAGGGACGGCTAGCGCAGATAGCCCTCGTGTAGCTTTGCGCGAAATTCACAACAAACCAAGTAACACTAGTTGATTGAAATAAAGCCATTTTTTTTAAACTTAAAACGTGTACTTACCTTTCATGATAAACTAAAAATATAAAAATTTTCGAAACAATACAGTCTATGACATTTTGTGTCTGGAAGAAATAGCAAAAGTTGGAGTGGGAAACATTTCGGTGTTTAAGAAAATGATCTTGAATTATCCAGATGCAATTTGTATTATCTTTCAGAACAAATTGGTTTTTTAGATAAATGCGCCCCCTTCGAAACACGTCTTTATTTTTGTGAATTAGTTTTTATTGTTCTGTTAAGAGGAGAGCTGAGAAATTAATAAACGTCCTTTTTTTTTGTTCGGAAAGATTTGTATAATTATTTAATTTTATATGTAAATATTTCGGTAACGTTTGGTTCAATTTACGTATTAAATTATTTAGGCCTTTTTTTTGTTGTTGTTATTGTTACTTTTGATATCCCGATAATTTTTTTTAAATTTCATAATATATATATTTATTAGGATTTGTTTCATTATTTTACTGTTTATTTTCCAATGAAATTTATTCAGTGCTTAAATTTATCACATAATCTTATGAATAATATAAAAATTCCACTTAGTTTATTATCAAAGATAATCAGCTTTGTAGTTTGGACTTGTTGCCATCCATTACGCCCTCTAGTGGCAGATCGGATCCAATACAGCGAGTTTTTACACAGCTTTATTTTCGTATTAATACATAGCGTTATTCTCGTATAATCTTATTAACGTAAAATCTGACGTTTCGTACTTTAATGAGTATTTTTTTTTAACTGTCAGTGTATAATAGTGATATTTTTTAACACAGGGCGACCTTATGGAACTGACAGACTGATTTACGTCATCACCCAACGACAGACGTCACGTGTCTGGATTCTTCCAATTTTTACTTTTCTTTGGAACGTTGTTCTTCCAGTAGTTTTTCTGGTATTTTTTTCCTTTTTTTAATATGGTGGAAAATAATTAACATAAATCTTTAAAATACCTTAACTATTGTAGTTTCAAGTTGTATTTAAATACTCCTTTATATTATATGAATATTTATATTATATTTTTCAAAAAAAGAAAAGAAAAGAAAACTAGTTTTTAAAATTTCATAAGACTTAATAGTATTTTTATTTAAGTCAGAAATATTTTACATGTTCAGTGCATATTTCAAATAATAATAAAAAAAATAAATTCATTTCTTTTCGTAGGTGCTTTCAATTGCCTTCGTTCGTTCGGGGAATCCAGAATCAGACTATCCGTGGCAGGATAGCAATACTGGTGACACCTATTGGCCATTATGGGCAAAAAAACTGGCCACCTTAGTTCAAGCTCTTCCTTTGTTGATTGTTATTGTTGTATGTATATATCAGGCGTGCCGTTACCTAAAAGTATCAACAACTAACGAAGCTCTACACGAGGTATTACAAATACGTCCGCGTTGACTTAGTGTTCTTAATTGATTCCCAATAAAATTGAAGTCTTAAATAAATGTATTATTTTTATATATACAGGCCTCCCAGATAGCCTTTAAAATTTGTATAATTGTTCAATGAGTCTCCAATAACAGCCTGTAGAATATAGGTAGAATGTAGTAGCTGTCATACATGTACCCTGAAGCAGACACTCATTGTGACCTGTGACCTATGCAACTCTACAGGTCATTTGACGGAATGATAGAAGAAGTCATGAGCGTCTGATTCAGATACATCATGTATGGGAACTCAAAGATGTGAGTTTTAGTTTAAAAAAATGTTATTCTCGGTTGATAGGTAGAAGGTAGGAATAGGAGTACGTTGAAATTATATATCATATTTGGTTCTGTACCACTTAATCCATTACATTACTACCTATATATATACACCTATAAAAAATAGGCTATAATTTGTTACGATAAATCTTTAATTTAAAGACTGGCAATAGTATATATATGTATATTTTTAGGCTGGGAGTTAAAAAAAAAAAAAAAGGCTTAGGAAAACTTTTATTGTTAATGATATTATTTTAGACTTTTCTCACTTACATAATTTTGTTTAAGTTAATAGTTTTTTTTTGTTAAGTTTAACGTCATTAAGTAAATATGAATATCGTCCTTAAAGTTACCATTTGTGTCAACAGTAGTCGTGACTTAGAAATGACTTTTTGACACACTTAAATCTGATTTTATCAAGTCAAAAGCTTAAGTATATTATATTATTTTAATAATATTTTCAGTGTTTGGTATCCATATGTTTTTTTCAACATTGTGTATTTTGTATTTCAGCGCGTGGAACACTGGTGTTGTCCTGTTTTTGCTACTCCGAACGTAGCCTTAACTTCTTTGCAAAACAACGTTGTGTCGTCTTCTCCGACAGGGGGCGTTGTTAATGTTGCTTTTGAAGACGACCCTCCACCTAAATACACGCCACCTCCATCGTATTCTTCTGCCACCGCGCGGATGATCATAAAAAAATTAGTCCGAAGTCATTCTATGAATGAAGGAAAATATCGGAAGGCACTCAGACGCTTATCGTTTTCACCCACCCTCCCTGTCACAGTTGAAACTGTCTCCGGCGTTGTGACGTCAGCAGATAATTGCTCTACCAGCTCTTCTGCGTCACCACCCTCGAGCTAAAGAATCTTGGAATAGTGATAAAACTATAAGAAGTGTAGCAGTAAAACAGTTTAAAAATTACTTTTAAAACTGGTTTTTGTTTGGTATCCGAGGGACTAAATATTCACACGTGAATATATATATATATACGTATTTAATTTTTGAGAACAATTTTGTATAGCGTATTTTTGTAAAAAAAAAAAAAAATCGAAACAAAATCTTTTACAACATGGCCTAATAATTACAGTAACTATTACTAATTTTTCAGTAAGCTTATTTTATATGGTGGCAAAATTTTACTGTGTTATTTTTTCATTGTGTAAAAAGAGAAAAATCTTTAAAAACTAAAAATGCGAGTTAGTTCAGAATTGTACTTATTTATATTTGTCCTAAAACAATAGTATTTATTAGGCTTACTGTACTTTTAAATACTATATTTTTATTCGGTTTTTAGGGTGTTTTTCCGAGAGGAATATAAAATAGTATTTCAACCACACTATGTCCATCATGTCCAGTGCCGTCGACTTGATTCGTTAAATATCGAAACTCATCAGATCTTCTTGCTGTTCATATAAAGAGTTTGTTGGAATAAAAATTAAGATGTTAACTTCTTTTCATAAGTTAACGAAGCATGATTATAATGAATTATATTAATCAAAAGATAATGATACCCAATGCAAGTGTTTTAAATTTATTAAGAAAGAGATCCTGATTTTCTTTTCCTAACCAATAATTGTGAAAATTCTTCAAATTTTCGTAATTTATATTAAAGAAGATAGCCTATTAATCTTGAATCATTTATTGTCGTGTTCGTTTTCAGCGTCTTGGGCTTTATTGGTGTGTATTTTATTAAAGAAACATCTTATATTAAAATTGAAAACAAAAGATTCGGCTTACACCGCGTTACGAACTGAATACAGACAGATAAGATATGCTCGGTCACGTGTTTGTTTTAGACGTGAACGAAAGGTAAATACGTCCAACTTATGATCAGCAAAAACGAACAATATTCGGAAGGTTTATAAAATGCAAGAGTTGAGATCTTCTCAATCAAGTTTTATGGGGAATACAATTATTTTAATATACCAACAGATGGCGCCACTTGTATTATAAGCCAGACTGCTCTTCCTCATTAGGGTGTTTGATAGCAATGATAGATGCATAATAATGAACAGTAATTTATAACAAAAGTATAAAATAACTGACCTGATGGCTGTATTATAGAATCAAACAGTCAGAGTAAATATGCTACTTATTAAAGTACAACTTTTTTGTTTGTTTTTTTGTTACGTGCCAATATATGAACTTTGTATTTTACAAGTGTGAAAATTAAAATTTATCGATTGACAGTTCTATTTAATTATTTAATGTTATATTCAACTGATCTGGAAAATTAATCCTTAGAAATTATTATTTTAAAATCCTGTCAACTTTCCAGCTAGAGACGTAATTTTTCTTTCCAGTATTTATGTGACTTCGAATTCCCCGTCACACCAAACATGCTCGCCCTTGCAGCCGTGGGGGCGGTATTATGTGACGGTCAATCCCATTATTCGTTGGTAAAAGAGTTGGCGATGAGTGGTGATGACTAACTACCTTCCCTCTAGTCTTACACTGCTAAATTAGGGACGGCTAGCGCAGATAGCCCTCGTGTGGCTTTGCGCTAAATTCGAAACAACAAACAATTTATGTGACCTTTAGTTTAAAATATATTTAAATATCGGATATCTGAACGATTAATCTCGGGCAGTTCTTTTTCTTTTTTTCCAAAAAAGAAAAAGGTGGATTGATGTTGTTTTTTTCTCTTGGTGTTATATCTAAGTTGATGTAAAAACTAAGCTGGTGTTAAGTATGTAAATAAAGGCAATACATTATTTTCCCACCCCATAAAGTTTTTCGATGTCCTACGAAAGTGATCTTTGAAAGGCTTAAAAAAGATTCCATGTATACGCCATCTAAAAGAGCTAACACATACATACATACATACATACATATATATATATATATATATATATATATATATATATATATATATATATATA